TTTTTTCATATTTTTATAGGTGTGCCTTACAAATATGTACACACGCTCCAAATTTGAAGTAATTTAGATTTATAGAAAAAAATAAAAATTGAAATACTACCAGACAACTGAAACCTTGCGATGAAGTTTGGATGGTGATGAGGGTAGGTGAAATCACTGTTCATTTTCGCTTATAGGTGTTGGAAAGAGTTATATATATATATATATAAATTCTTCCTAATGCCTATAGGCAAAAATGAATAATGATTTCGCCTATCCTCATCACCGTCCAAATTTCATCGCGGTATCACGATTGTCTGGTAGTGTTTTGTTTTTCATTTTTTTTTTTATAAATCAGAATGATCTGGAATTTGGAGAGTATGTACATCTTATTGAGGCGCATCTAATAAAAATATAAAAACATTATCTGCCAAAACAAAATTGACCAAAATACCACCAAAAATGTTTGGAGGTATTTTTGTCAATTGTTTTCATGCAAAATATTTTTTTTACATATTTTTAGAATATTCCCCTATTTTTGATGAATACATGCTCCAAATTTCAAGTCATGTTGATTTGTAGAAAAAAATGAAAAATAAAACACTACAAGACAATCATGACCTCACGATGAACTTTGGACGGTGATAGGGTAGGTGAAATCACTGTTCATTTTCGCCTATAAGCGTTGCGTAGTGTGTTCCATATATATATATATATATATATAAACCCAATATATTATATCCTAGTTATTTCTGATATGGGTGGCCAATCTGCGTCGGAATCGATCAAGACCAAACCAGGTTTGGGATTGTATAATCCACATCTCAAACCATCTTGTTTTAACTAGTTAGACCAGTCAAGTGAAGTTGGACAAAAAAGTTTAATATTGTTATGTTTTAAATTATTATGAAACAATATATCCATAGAATGCGTACAGTTGATATGAGGATTTATGAGATCGATCAATGGCAAGACAAGAAATGATAGAATTTTGAATGAATATATCTGAGGGAACTTAGGGTAGCTCCAATAGGTGATAAGATGAAGGAATGTTGATGTAGGTGGTCTGGGCATGTGTAGTTTCAACCTAGAAGCACTAGTTACGAGATTTTGTTCAAGTAGAAGGCTCTAAAACGAAAAATAAGTAGTGAGAAGAGATATGATGACATATGATCTAATTGATGATATGACCTTTGATAGAGTTGAATGGTGGAACGGGAGACGTGTACCTGATCCCAAATAGTCAAGATAAAGCCTAGATGATGATGATGAAATTATTATATCTATTTCTCTTTTTTTTTTAAAAAAAAAATCTAGTCCAACGGCTTCAACCAATGTTATCAAATTCTCTTTGCTTCGGCTGAAGAGGCCGAAGCCTTTGGATTTTAGGCATAAACTGAAGAGAAGCAAAGCCTGGTGCTGCCGCTGTGGCCAGATTCGTTCTGATTCGGGTCTGCTTCGGCCAACAAAGAAATAACTATATAAAACTTTTTTTTTTAATTTTTCATTATTAGTATATGTTTTAAATATAAATATCCAATTTATTTATCCTAAATTTGTTTTTTTTTTAAAAAAGAGTCCAAAGTCTTCCCGTGAATCGGCCTAAGTACTGAATTGCTTCATTTTTTTCACCAAACCAGAAAAGACTCCAAAGCAAATCTAACAACATTGGCTTCAACCACTAGTTGGACCGATTTTGATTGTATCAAACCCTTCACCAATTTGTTTTCCAATCCGATCTAGGCAATACTAAACAATTCATGTGGCTCGTTTGGAGGCTACTTCTTATGCCATTTTAGATGCACATGTAACACAAGACAGGCCCTTATGCCATTTTAGATGCACATGTAACACAAGACAGGCCATCACGTTCATGAAAGTTGCCAATTTTAACCCTAAAAAGTTAAAATATATATATATATATTAATGTAAAGGAAAAAGTAAAAAATTACTAATTTTTAACCATAAACACAAAGCCTCTCTTTTAACAATGCCCTACGCAAAAATTGACACAAACACGTGCATTAGTCAAACATATATTATTTTACAAAGGAAAAATGTATTGCGCAATTGGGGACCTAATTCAATATTAGGGCATGTTTAGTATCCATGAAAGTATCTTTGCGAAAGTAGTTTCACATGAAAGAGCTCTCTATACATTTAAATGTGGGAGGAGTTTTTTTACACCAATTGGTCTCAACACATTTTTATACCAATCCTGCAGCTAATTGGTGCAAAAATTCCCGCACTTAATAATCACATGTAGGAATTTTTTCATTTGAAAATACTATTATACAAATATTTTCATATGTACCAAATGGATGCAAAAAGAGGTAGTCCCACCAAAAGAGTAAGACTAGTAGCGATCAAAATTTATCCTTCACAAAATATTAATTTTAATTTTAAAATTTTTTTTTTACATATTAACGATCCCATATTAGAGATTATATACTCCCAATTCTAAATCCATCTCAAAAATAGATCACGGAGAGAGATGATGCACATCTATATAAGGGTCAATGTACTCCAACTGTGTCCACCTCGAGAGATCCAATTTTTTTGAATGTGCACAAAAGAGAGAGGGATTTCTCAAGAAAGGGGAAATAGAGTACTCGTGAAGCGGGGAGAGAGAGTGATGGAAATAGAGATGCTTCCCTTGAAGGGGGAGAGAGACCACTTTCTAGTGTTTGTAAAATCGGACAGGTCAAATCGGAACTGCTCGGTTAGATCAGAATCAATCACTCTTCTGTTTTAATTTTGATCGATTTTGATGATCCGGTCGGATATTTAAAAAAAAATCAAAAAAATTTTATAAAATCCCAAAAAATAAGGGATTTGTTTATAATATGTTTTTTAATATTTTCATCATTTTGACAAAAAGCGAAAAGTGTTGTGGCCATTGATACTTATTTTTATATTTTCCCATTCTTTAAAAAATTTCAAAAATACCCTTCAACATAAATCGATTTTTTAACATCAATTTTTTCACTAACTTTCAACTTCACTTGATGTACTTTATTTAATCATGCTTTAAATATAGTTTTCATATTTTTTTAAAATTTTTATATATTTTAACATTTTTTTTAACCTAGGATTTGTCCAATTAAGCCGGTTTACCGATTACTCGATACTGGCCCTTGGCCAGTTTCGAGGCGGGTTCGATTTTTCAAGTACTTCCAATGAAGAGGGGAGAGAGAAACCTCTCACAAGGGAACTGAAATATCAAATTAAACTCTAGGTCCAACAAACAATGATAAAAACCCAACCTCAAAGACAAAGGTTCCCCTTTATCATTTGAGAATCCTAATGAGACAACAAACCAATGAAAAGAAGAACACCAATCCAACCTTCCTTCTCTCTCAACCCCTACACTACACCAGCTCAAGAGCAAATACTGATGGGACAAGGATAAGAGATTGAATTCATGGAACTCATGTCTCCATGATTAAGGCCCATTGCCTCCCTCCCTCCTTCCGAACTACCCGAAGCTTGTAAGGTATTATCCACATTGCCCTTCGCCTCTTTCTCCTCAGATACCCCTTCTTCTTGTGAGTTATCAAAGAGGAAGTCAATGTCCTCAAATGTGGTGGAGTCAGGCAAGCCATTGAAGCTGCAATCCACTTGTGGGGCCCACGTTTGCTCGCTCGGGAACTCGGGGCCCACCATAGCGTCGCACAAGTCCGAATTGGGAATTTGGAAGTTTGTTGAGGCCATCATTGGGAACTTCGGGGTTTGTGAGTCCTCGAAGGTGTAGGTTGGCTGAGGGAATGGTGATCTGATGTAGTGGCTGAGGTCGAAGTTGGTCACAGCGTTCAAACCTCGGTATTCGATGGCTGCAATGTCGTAGGCCGCAGCCGCTTCTTCTTGGGTGCCTATTAGAGAGAGAGAGAGCGAGAGAGACCGATTTAGTTAAGGGTGCGGTGTGCATAGATCCGAGGCTCTAAACAATAATATAAAACACACCTTCAAATAGTGTAGAGAAATGTGGTTTTGATACTGTAAAAAGAGGATACTTGTATCCCCATACTATAAAAAATTTAAACGGTTCTTTTTATTCTTGACAATGGATGCATACTAAAGATACAACACGTATGTCAAACACTTCAAAATTTAGACAATTAAACATTTCTTCTTGAAATTTCATCATGAAAATACCTAGTGTCACTTAAAATTTTACCTCCCCCGTTAACTAGATGATATGTGGAGGGGTCATGCTTGAAATGCTATTTTTAGATTGGCATTTCTGAACTTATTTAGGTCTCCAGTTGTGTATATTTGTCTCTAATAGCTTAAATATGCATATATATGTCAGGTCTAAAAAGTCAATTTTAAAATTAGTGTTTAACGCGTAAGTCAATTTTAGAATTAGTGTTTAACACTTATATCTATTTGTTTATAACCTTAGTAGTTATGTTCATTTATCACAATCTAAGTAGAGGAAAAGGGCACTTGAGCATGCACAAACACACTAATAAAAGGGGTGAAGAGAGAAAGAGAGAGATTTTCTTGCCTTCTAGAAACTTTGAGGATGTAATTAAAATAGAAAAAATAATAATAGATGTTTCTCTTCAATTTATAATCTTATTTGGACCCAATTGTAGCCATTACTCCATAATTTTTCAAATTTAAGATGTTAGCTACCTTACCAATAAAACCATATATTGGGGTTTACACCCACCCCAATAAGATAGGAAATGGTCTTTCAAGGTTCCCTTTTTTTTTTTTTTTTTTTTTTTTTTTTTTTTTTTTTCTTTTTTCTGTGAAACTACCTTCTTCCTTGGGGTCTTCCCCATGGTTTTTGAGTTTTGACCCAAAAAATGCCTTAGCTCATTCCAAACATATCTAGATTACTTCTAATGAGACAAAAAAAATCTTGCCATTAATTACAAATCTCTAATCTCTAATCTCTAGTATAGTTCTTGTGAGATGACACTTTTGCCCTTAAGTTGGGAGAAAATTATTATAGCTCATTTTCAAAGGTTGTTAACCACCAAAGATATCTTTTATCACACTTTCCCTTTTGGGCTGGTGTACCATGAACAAAAATGTGTGTGGGGAAGTATGCTATGATCCACATGACCATAGAAAATGTTGCAAGTGTAATCACTACCTAATTGATGAAAATGAGAGGAATGTTATCATATTTGCTTGAAAAAGGAAGTGCTTCAGCTCTTTCAAATTCAGGGAATTCTTTGAGTGCACTTGTAGATTTTTTTTAAAAAAAAAAGGCAAACAAATATAGAAAGAACATATTCTTAAAAAATTTAAATATAATGATGTTTCCTAATTAATTTATATATATATATATTTGAAAATTTTAATAATGTGGGGTACTCTTGCCAAATCTGAATATTTTGAGCAATCTTATTTTTCTGATATTCCATCTAATCAAGGACTGTTTTGCATCGGTTTGATTTAGGCATGAAACCGAATACTTTGGCCATTTCAGGTTGAAGCGAAGCGAATCTAACACCATTGATATCATGAGTGAGAGAGAGAGCGAGTAGAACATGATGAGCCTAGTGATTGATCAACTCACTCTCCATCACCGTCCATTCACTTTTTGGATGGAAACAGGCACATGTGATTATATATGCCTCATGGTGTCTGGATCATAGGGTCTCTTCTCAAATGATAAACAGGAGTGGTCTTTTTTATCACAAACCGTTATATCCAGTTGTGAATACACACGTGGGTTACCCACACGTGTTATATGCTCTGTCATAAATGTATGAGGGATCCATACACGTGCACATATGCATTTTTTGCATGCCATTTCAAATGGGGGTTCAAATGAAGACAAGAAAAAAATTACCAAATTAGAAAAAAGTTGAATAGGTGTAAATTACAAAAGAGAATAAACCGAATTTAGAAAATACATAATATGAAGGAAAAATAATAAAATATCCATCAATATTCATGCTTTTGTTGTGTGGAATAGTGTTTTTTAATAGTGGCAAAATATTTGTAGAAATAGAAATTCATATAGAATATAGCAATCAAATAAATACTCACCCAAGAAAAAAAATGGAATTAATCAATTATCAAAAAGAGAAAAAGAAAAAAGAGAAAAAAGGCAGAAAGAAAAGGAGGCATACTGTAAGTCCCCAAGTAGAGGTATTTGTTGCCAAAGACTCGGCCGATTCTTGCTTCCCATCTTCCATTGTGATGGTGTCTGCAAAACCCAAATGCATGTAAGTTAATCAAAAGCCAAAATACTTGATACTTCCATGGGGTACCATAATGTCCCTTTGCTCCCTCAGGTAAATACTACGCTATGAGTATTTTTAGGGCCCCAAATTTTGGGGATATAACCTCTTACACAAATTTTCAAAAAAAAAAAAAAAATTCCTTGAAAAAATAATATTAGTTGAACAAGGATAGTCCAATTTTTTTAAGGCAACATCTAAGTGTTTAAAAACTCAAAATCGATTTTTTTTTCCAAAATAATTATCTAGTGATCCTTACGTGGATCTCAAATTTTCGGATAAAAAAAGATTGTCCCAAATAGCTATTTTGCTTAGTGAATTAATATACATTATACTCCTAAAGGAGTTTATAATAAAAAAAAAGTGTTCTGATCTTAACATTAAGTACCGTAATTGTGCTTCACTATAACATTTTAAGTACGGTATAACATTAATGTGATCATGTCCACATTCACACACATAAAAGTATATTTTATTTGATTGCTTTACACCTATTTATTGACTTGGCTCCATTTTTATTGTTTGAATTTGAAAAAATTTTTCTATTTAATGTTAAAAATTGAGATTAATTAATTGACCTTGCCACCCCTCTATATTTTGAGACACCCCTTGAAAATCCACTGCTCCTCCTCCTCAAAGTGGCCAAATACTCCTCTTTCGTCAAATGCTGCATCTCCTCTAACTCCTTTGCATACGTACTTAACTGCAAAATAACCAACATTTTAACTTTACCATTACCATGTAAAATCATAGTATTAATATACTGACAGTGAAAATAATAATGGACATTTATCAAAATGTAATATAAGAGATGAATTATTTACATTTTACCTATATTTTTTGTTTATTTCTAAAGACCCCATCAAATCAGTCCTGATCATGAGTTGGAATAGTTGAAAATGGATAAAATGATAAATAGTTGCTAAGCTAAGTTTATTTTGATCAATTTTCTTAGCAATAATAATAACAGCAATAAGACTAATAATATTAATATATAATAAAAATATTTTTATTGTCACCATCAATATCTTATTGATGATGATAGTGATTAGTATGATGATTACAATATTATAAATCACTTTACATTGACATTTAATGCCTTTCTTTTATTTTTTATTTTTTGAAATTTGTATTACTCACAGGGAAATTCAGGATTGTTCCGGGCCCCCAATATTTAAGGGCTGCCAAATCATATGTGTGAGCAGCTGCCTCTTCATCATCATATGCCCCTGCATTTTTCAAAAGTTAAACCCATGCAATAATATAACATTAAAAAAAAAAAGCATGGAAAAAAAAAAAAACCTTAAAAGTAGATAGATAGAGACACCGAAATAGAGAGAGAGAGAGATTGATGTAACTTACCCAAGTAAACTGAGCACCCAATAATGATTGTTGCATATAGAGATCATGCCAAAAAAACGAGAGTCATTATCATAGCCCAAAAAAGGAAAAATAAATAAAATAAAAAAACAGTATCATTCATCTGATGTCTTCATTTATTTTTTTATATTTTTTTTGTGCTTTTATTTTTACCTTGCCTTCCTTTCTTGTTTTGCACCTGGTTCCAACAATTTTTATCCCAAAGGTGAGCTTCATATCTCCCTGTCCATCTATGCCTGCCAAAAATGAAGACATGCAAATAAATTACCAAAAAGAATATAATTTATAAGAGAGAAAAAGAAAAGATATATAAAAAACTGGTAATTCCCAAAAATTGTTTTCTCCTTTTTTTTAAACTATTACACAAAAACATCTGCTAAATTTAGCATCAAAAACCCAACTTGGGGTGCTAAGGCCATAATCACAGTTTCATTCGATCGTTAATTTTAACGCGAATCAAAAGAAATAAATAGCAAAATCGAATGATGATATAAAAAACCACTCAAACAGAGACATAAACAAACTCGGCTAAATTTTCTATCGCACCTTGTAACTCCTCTGTATATAGAGCTTCTTCTTCCTGGGATGCTGCCGAAATGGCGCTTCTGATCACCATTTACAGTCCTTCTTATTCTTCTGGTCTTGGGTTTTGGAGTAGTTTTTGGAGGTTGGTCTCCATGAACTTGAGGAGCAGGGCTGGCACTGTGTTGGCGCTCCATTCTGAGGAAATGATGACTCTGCTAAATTTAGAGGAGCAGCAAAAAATGGTGGCTCTGCTGAAACTGGGGCCTCGTCTATAACCTTTCTGCTAAGAACTCAGATTTGGGATTTACAGATTCTTTTGAGAAAAATATTATATGTGGGTTTCTCTCTCTAGCTTGGTTCACCTAATTGGTTCACCAGCAAGAGACTTAGAGAGAGAGAGGGGTCATGACTGCTTAAGTAGAGAGAGAGAGCACATTTGTTTGAATTTTTCCCATTTTATCCCTGTATATGTTTTTATTCCATACGTGTCTTATCTTTTTTTCTAGTAGTTCAAACTAAGTATTAAAAATAGTTGTAGATTTTGGAAAATTGAAAAATTGCTTGTTTGTTACACAAAAGAGAAACAAAAATGGGACTAATAAAAAAATAAGGGGCATATTTTTAGGGGGTAGAAAAATTTGTAATGCATTAAGGTATGTATACTCATGGTATAATTAGTGATTTAAAGATCACTAAATCGACTCTGAGAACAAGTTCCGGACAATAAAAAGCCCAAAATTGCCAATTCTCTCTTTTTTTTCTTTTTTTTTTAACTTTTTTTTATTAAATATAACTTTATTTGACTAGGAGTTACCCGAATCGTACTTCCGAATTGAACTTAGACGCTTGGCATAACGAAGTCGAATTCCTATTTTTGAAACACTGCATGAAACATGAGCCTTTGGGTACAAATGATATTAATCAACTAGGGCCTAATATCAAGGGTGCTTTAGTGAAAACCTTAAAGATATTAAGCTAATTAAATTTGGGTGTGATAGTCATTACGACTTTTCATAAGGTATTTGATTCCTTATTTATATGGGCTTTGCTTTTTATTTTCTAATTTCTCTTGGGTTAGGATTTGTTAACCTTGGGTTGAGGGATTAACCTTGGGTTAGATTGAGACCCAACACTTGGCTTAGAGGTCTGCCATGCTTCCAATGGGAGAGGGGCTTCAGCCTGCACCCATGCATTTGCAGTGTTTCTACTAAGGGAATCCAAGTTGCTGTCTCTCACTAAAATTTCTCTCTCTCTCTCTAGAAATTATCTCTCTCTAACTCAAAGCTCTCTCTCATTAAACTGCTCTTTTTCTCTCTTAACTCTCAATAAAATTTAGACTCTTACACTCTCCCAAGAACTTACAAATGAAAAAAATTTATATAAGGTTACAACTTTAAAATTTAGAACTAAAGTGACACCTCAAAAATCCATCATCAAATATTGTTTTAATATTAGAAAACCCTCTAATTGATTATTTTTTACATTGAGATGTATGAATATGAAAACAAAAAAAAAAATTAAGTCCTTAAAATAGTGTATCTTACCACCAATTATTTAAGGGTGCAGTTTGTATAGAGCGGAGGCTCTAAACAATCAAATTAGAACCCACCTTCAAATAGTGTCAAGAAATGTGGTTTCAATACTGAAAATCTTTGACTAGCCATAAAATATAATTTCATCTTTAATTATAAAACTAAAGCTTTAAAAATAGTATAGATCGAGCAGATCTATGAAAACTTAAATAACTTAAAAATTGACGGTCCAAAAATGCGTCACAAGATGCACTATTTCTAAAACTTAAAATCTACTTTTTATGAAGTCCATACATTTTAAGGTGCATCTTAAGGTCGAGATGATCAATTGGAAGATATTTGGACATCAAAACAACCCCTTCTAATGGAATTTTTGAGGTAGGCTCTAATTTGATTGTTTCGAGCTTAGGTTCTATATAAACTTTTCCCATTATTTCAACGGTCCATTTTTAATATTTCAAGTGTTTATAGATCTACTTAATTTTAATCATTTTTAAAATTTAAAATTTTGAATCATTTTTAAAATTTAAAATTTTATATTTTATTCAAATAGATTTGCAAGCCATCCTAATAATCTTTTACACCAAAGTTACCTTTTAAAAACTCACTGAGAGACTAAATCTCTCTCTAAACCACAAATTGCTCTCGATGAAATCTTAATGAGTCCAATTTTCTCTCTCTCTCTTGTGTCTTCAAATTGCACTCTTTCTCTAGACACCAAATTGCTCTCGCTCTCTCTCTCTAGAAAAGATCAATGAATTCTCTCTTTCGCTCTCTAAAACGCTCACTTTTTTCTAAAATTTGGTGCACCCAACTGTAAAACCGCTTACCGGTTCAGTGGTGGTCTAGCGTGTGAAGGTAGTTTTGTGGAAAGCCTGTTAGACTTTGATTCTCCATAGCTTTTTGAAAAATGTCATTAGTACCCTTACATTTGGAACCAAAAATGATTAAGCTACAAAACTAAGGAAATGGTATTTTTGTAACCTCTTGAAAAGCAAGAAAATATGCATCATACTTGGTTGATAGTTAGGTAGAGTAATTTGCTGACATTGAGTAGTGAAATTGGATATAATCCGAATTTGCGAAATTTTTCAAACAATTACTGATATATAGTGATATGTGGGTATAGAAGTAATGTCATGTATTCTATATCTCTTTTAATTGATAATTAAGATGCAGTCTCGGTGCTGGAAAGCCTAGCCACGACATGAAAATCTATTGTTACCTCTAATTATGGAATTTAAAGCTTTGAAATTGATGTAGATTGAGTCGATTTTTTTTTAAAATGGACGATTCAGATAATGTATTACAAGATTCGCTATTTTTATAACTTGAAATCCTTTTTTTTTCACATCCATACATCTCGATGTCAAAATGATCAATTTGAACATTTTCTAGGGTCAAAATAACCTTTTTCAAACAACTTTTGATGTGTTCTTTACTTTAATAATATAAGGTTGACTCCTTATATAAATTTTTTTGTTATATATAATATATATGTGTTCTCAAATATGGCTAATCAATTTGGGACTTTTAATGTTGATGTGTTCTCAAATATGGGTAATCTCATCGCCTATCGTTTTATGAAAGTTAGATTAAGATTAAGATGGGTACCACAGGCAAATAGAATTCTGAAGATTAATTTTGATTGCTCTTCCCTTGGAAACCCAGGGGTAGAAGGTTTTTGTGGAGTATGTAGAGATCATATTGGTAACATTTTTTTATATTATGCTGGACCATGTGGTGTGGTTAGTGCAAATCATGCAGCCCCTGTTACAAGGACTCTTGATTTGGAAAAAAAAGGAATTTGGAAAATCAATGATTTTGGAAGGAGATTATTTGAATGTCATAAATTAGTACACTTGCCTTGCTAGGCCTCCATGGCATCTTAGATCTTTGTATCTTCAAGTAATGGACGCAGTTTCTTCGCTGGATGTCTCTTTTTAGCATGTCTTCAGGGAGGTAAATGAGGTTGCTGACGATTTGGCGAAGAGAAGGGGAAGTCTCGATCATATAATTATTTCAGATATCTTATTTTGACCAATGCATCACTTTCTTTTTGGTATCAATAAAAGCTAAGTAATCTTGTCAAAAAAAAAAAAAACGTGTGGGAAAAGTTTATATAAGGATGAGGCTCTAAACAATCAAATTAAGGTGCACTTTAAAAATTGCTAGAAGAGGTTGTTTCGATGCCCAAAAATCCTCAAATCGATCATCTTGACCTCAATATGTATGCACATGAAAAAAAAATAGATTTCTAGTCTTGGAAATAGTGCATCTTTAATGTATTTTCTAGACTGTCAATTTTCAAGATTTTCAGTTGTTCATAGATCTACTCAATCAATACTAATTTTGAAGCTTTAAATTTTATAATTAGATATGAAAATAAATTTTCAGGCGATCATAAAGATTTCCAATACCAGAATAAACATTTTTCACCACTATTTGTATGTACACCTTAGTTTGATTATTTAGGGTGTCAGCCTTATATAAACCACACCTTTTATATATATGTGTGTGTGTGGGAAATTTGTTTCATGCGGGCTGGACCTCATTTTTATATATGCGGTCCAGAGGTATAAAGCATCCATCTTAAAAATGGATGCAAATAGGTGTTCCATCTAAAAATAATTATAACTAACGATCCAAATGTTTTCTTAATAGATTTATTATTTCTGTTATTATTATTTTTTCATATTCATGATATCTCCATGTTAAAGATTACATGTCATTAAACATTAGGTCAAAAAATTCATCTCAAAAATAGATTTTTAATAGGCGCCTTATTTCTATATGGACTCATAGAAACCGGGTTCATATATATGGGAAAGCTTTCTATGTTCCCCCTACAATATAGAAGTTCTATCCAACCGTCTATTTTTTAATGGAGGGCTAAGATTGCCCCAATCATAATGTCACGTCTCTACATTGTTTTATTTTTAATTTTTTTTCTATAAACTTTTTTAGCCCCAAATTTTGGGCGTCCATTTCGTTATTAAACTCGCACTAACGAAAAATACAAAAGAATATTTTCAATAAAATAAAATGACCAAAATACCCCTAAAAGTTTCAAGAGGTATTTTGGTCATTATTTTTTATTAAAAAATTATTGTTACTATTTTTTATAGGTGCACCCCAATGAGAAGATGGCATGTACCAAATTTCATATTCAGAAAATTTGTATTAAAAAACTAAAAGCAAAATACTTTGAAACGTTGGATCTAAGATCAAACGGTGAGTGGCTCTCTTGATAAAAAATGGACAGCTGGATGTTAGGGGGAGGATAGAACTTCTATATTGTAGGAGGAACATAGAAAGCTTTCCCCATATATATATGCGCAATATATTGTAAAATATTTACAATAAATTTTATTTTTCTTCCATCTAAACTCAAACCCAATCTGCCTGGACCTTTCACAGGTTCGAGTCTGCTCTATGTATGTAGACAAAATTTGAAATGAGTTAATTTCTCTCTTACATCCTAATCCTAGAAACATATAACCCTTGAACTCTAAGAACCACACCACGCTAGTGCACCATAGACTGTACTCCGCAATTTTTAGGAAAACCATTAAATCTACCTGCATCTAGCCAAATCAACCCAAATCTATCTAAATCGCCATGTAGATATATTGATTGATTCAGACATATCCAGAACAACAAGATAAGCTATAGAAAGATAGAAAAACCTAAATCGTAATTCTTAAAAAGCGTCAAAAACATATTAGACCACCACTATTGGACTCAGTAAGATCCGCAACATCATGTGAATTTTTTTGGATTTTCTGCATCAAGATATGCATTGAAGGTCACAATGGAATCTACACTTAGAGA